AGAGACTCATCGTCTCCACTGCAAGCAGCCAGATCCACCCCGCACCAGCCCAGTGGGAGGACAGCCGAGTCCGGCAGGGTCCCTGGAAGCAGCTGGGTTCCCCTTGCCTACATCCCCCAGCTACCAGCAGAGGCAGAGCCGGGCAAAAACATGGGATGGGATCCAAGACTCACAGCTTGTGGGGCACAGAGGCCAAATCCCCATCCCGCCCCAGCGTATGCATCAGGCATCTGATGTGGAGCCACCCCGAGGCAGTCCCTGCTCACCCCTCTGATGCTGCTGGGATGCTCTCACAGGGAAAAGCAGGGTTTCCCATTACTGCAAGAGGTCAGGCAGGCAGAGGCCACCCTGCCAGCCCCACCAGTGTGAGGGACCCCGAGGGACAGATGGAACAGCCCTGGACATGCACATACCATTGTCCCCTTCCCACCGCCCTGCAGCTGCTGTGGTGGAGCTGACTACCTTTGTGTTTTGTAACAAACCTCAGGGTGCTCCGCTCCTGGAATCATACAATTATGTGAAATCACAAATATATACATAAATAAATATATATGCAACTTTATATATATATAAATTAATTTAACAGTCCCTCACAGCTGGAAAAAGTGACTGAAATCCAACCTAAAGCCACAGAAATCAGAGAAACAGCGACATGCAGCATTTTCTTTAAACATCACATTTGAGCCACTCTCTTGATTTTAGGGCGATTTAAAAACTCTGTGTGCCTGGGATTGCACCAGGATGGGAGGGCTTTTCATCCACAGCCACTGAAACCTTAACAAGACACATGGGCATGAACTACCCCCTTCTGGCACTGAGGGGCGAAATCTCATTGTCTCCGCAGCACGGACTGAATTCCTTAGGTATTTTGAAAAGGAAAATATATCCCTTCCTCTTCCATCCCCTCCCAAATCTGGTATTTCTGAAGTCATGAACTCCTCCTCCTCCTCCTCCAGGATCAGAATTTCTCAGGGTAATTTCTCGTATTTCATGCATGACCTTGATGCTGGGAGAACCGCAGCTCCCTCCACACAGGCGCCCTTCCCGGGCTCTGAGCAACTCCATGACTCCAGCTTGTCTTTTCCAAGACATGCCACCAGTTTGCAAAACAGCCGCCAAAACTGCTCTGTATTCCAACAACAGCTGAGAGTCAAAACATCTAATTAATTAGTATGTTAATCTGCGGCTGGGGTAAGTGGCTGGTCCCCCCCGCCTCCGCAGGCCACAGCGAGATGAGGCTAGTTGCTGGACACCAGTTTATTCTGCTGGAGCTGGAAGTCATCTCCCCTCTCCTGATGGAAAAAATGAATGAGGGGGTGAAGCTGAGCCTTAGGAGGGGGTTGGCCAGGCTCTCTGCAAACGCACTGTCGGCATCAACCCCACATAGGAGCAGGACTGCAGAAGGTGGAAGGAGAAACAAGCGGAGGTTATCCTTTGCTCACTGATCAGGAACTCCATTGCCGGCAGAGCAGGCCGCATCCTGGGGAGCAATAGTGGCAAGTCAGGTGGGTTCGGGGTACCAAGGTCATGCAATGGGAGAGAAACGCTACTTGGAGGGTCGTCTCTGTGGCAAGCGAAGCAAGCACTGCAAGGTTTCATTCCAGGAAGGACACACAGAGCTGGTCCCCGTGGGATCATGCCGGGGGAAGGCTTGCTGACCATCACTATCCACCCAGCGCTGGGAGGAAACCACCACGGGGGAATGCACCCTCGCCTCCCGTACACCTTACTGCACCTCCCGGTCTGTCCCCCCGAACCTGCACGTGGGCAGCTCTGCACCAGCCCCAACTCCCAGCGGCAGCTCCAGTGTGGGACACGTCCATCCCTCCAGGCAGGACACAGGGGGACGTCTGCCGGGGGAAAGGGCCACCTCAACACAGCAGAACTTCTTAAATGCCTGCGGCAGCAAGACAGAAAGATGGTAACAAAGAGTTGAACAACTCGGATGATACAGGGCATCCAGGCCTCTCATCTGAGAGTCATCATACGGCTCAGCACCACAAGCCTCAGCTGCGCTATGAGCGCAGGTCCAGCTCAGCCAGCCAGGCAACCTACCACTGCAAAGGGGGCACTGGGGTGTCGGAAGGAGCTCGCACCCACCTGAGACCTCCCAGGCAAGGAGAAATCTCCGGGCAAGATATCTCCCTGGTTTGTCTCGGGCTAGTCTCACCACTGCCCTCTCCCAAAGGACACAGATAAGTGAACCCGTGATAACAGTGGATTGTGGCCCTGTCCTACCTGGAGCCCAGCACGCCCCTTGTACCCCCTTTGAAGCCCCCAAGCAGCCCATGGCCCTGGGGTCGGCACCGGGGCAGCAAAATCCCACGACATTTCCCAAGGTTCCGCCTGCTCTGAGGACGACTAAGGTCCCTGTGTGCCTCTGCGGGTGAGCTGGCAGGGGAGAGCCTGCGGCATCCCTTCCCCACGGGCTCAAGCACTTGTCAGCCCCTGCTGGACTCCCAGAGGATCAGAATGGGGCCTGGCAGCTTCACCAAAGCCAGAGAGGTGCCCCACGACCCATAGACCAGCTCTGGCTTTAAATGAGAGTGGGAGCAGTGAAGCCTTACTGTGTTCACAGGGAAAATGAAGCCCATGCAGCTTCTCTGATGTCTAATAAGGGTTGTGCGTCCTTCAGGGCCGTTCTTCTGGCAAGAGCAACCATGTCCCTGCACACCGACTTGCAGGATGCTTGCTGATTGTGGGTTTGGAGGGTACTACAGGAGGGCAGGTGGACAAACCACAAAAGCACACAGCCCTCATTCCCGTAGGAAAGCAGGGGGAGCAGAGAGCCAGACTGCCCCACAGAGTGCCTTTAACCGCAGCTGGACGGCTGGCCCAGGGCAGGCACGCTCGCTTCCCTGCCTCCCTCCTTCCTTCTCCTCTGTGCCCGGGCCTTCCCCTCGCCGCCAAATCCCAGCCATCAAGTGAATAAGGACA